GAAATTATCAAATTCATTAGCACCGACGGGGATCACCTGGGTTGCCCGCGTTATCTCATATTTACGGCGATTGCTTAGTCTCTGAGCTACAATAGATTTTATAAAAGACTTCGGGAAAATATTACAAAAGAATATATACAAAAGATTGATAATAAAAACTAATCAAATATTCTTTCCAGTGTTACTCTAAGTCGGTGACATCAATTTTTGAGTTCAGATGTTCGCCTTTCTCCCTCTAGCAAGTTATTAATGTAGTTTTAAAATGTGCACTCAAAACGACTTTATCTGACTTAAAGCCGCGTTTTGTCTCTGTGCTTTTGACGGGGCCATTTAACTTTTAAATTTTCAGTTTTGTGGGAAGTAAGCATAAAGATTATTAAAATGAACGACGTTTGTTAGGCCGGGTCCACATTTGATTATAGAATAGAATCATTTTTATTTCACATAGATAGATTACAAGAATGCTTATTAAAAGTCATTTAAGCTTTACTACATACTGGTTTGAAAAAAAAAAAAACTTCTGTCCAGGGAAGAACCAGCTAAAAAACCAGCGGGACTTTTTTCCCTATCTTATACAATTAATTAAGATCACAAGGTAGCAATATTTAAAAGGTGATGGTAGCCTTCGTTAATTACCAGAACGTCAAACACCTTAGTTCCCCCGTTACCATTGGTGCTAAAAAGAGACCGAAACGTCAGAAAATTAAAATAGTACAATTATATGAATAAAAACTGCATAATTAGTTTTATTAAATTATCGTATCGTGTCTTCGTCGCAGCGCAAAAATTAGTGTCATGGTCGCTAGTTGGGACGAAAAATTATATTCGGTCATGTGATATGCCATAGTAATACCGAAAATATAATTAATACCGATCACGCAAAACCTCGTAGCTAAAACATGTCGTTTGGGATAAACGTATCGTAATCGGTTATATGGACGTATTTTGGTAATATCCCACGATACTACAACTTCTAATACGCAGCAGCCTATCTATCTCTTATCGTTGTTTTCCCCTATCATCAAAAAAAAAAAACTGTGACCTGCTACACGTTCTTGAAAAGTTCCGATGTGGAAAATATACGTGAATTAGATAAATATTTGTAGCACATACAGGATGTTTGTGAAACGCTCCCGCAAACGAAGACAAACGATAATACTAACGATACCTTTGATAATGGGTCAGAAAGAAAAATCATCTTTTCACAACGTGTTATTAGCTTTATTCACGCTCCACTATGTTAGTGCGGTTAAGTGTTTGCACACGGCTAGTTAAACGGTGTGGTTGAAATGGATGCCATACTTAAAATACAAGTAAGATACGCCGGGTCAAGATACGTCAAGAAGGGCAAATGTGGACCCGGCCTTAGGCTTAAAACTCTTCATTTGAACTCCGGGTAATGAATTACGGTAATGGTAAATAATGAAACATTACTACATTTTTTATAGAAGGGGGGGCAAGCGATCATGCGGTTCACCTGATGGTAAGTGACTACCGCTGCCCATGAACAACCGCAACACCAGGGGAATTGCAGATGCGTTACCGGCCTTTAAGAAAAGTGTAAGTTCTTTTCTTGAAGGTCCCTAAGTCGTGTCGGTCTGGAAAAATCGCCGGTGGTAAACAATTTCACAGAGAAGTTGTACGAGGAAGAAAACTTTAGTAAAATGCACAGTGGTGGACCGCCAAGCATTCAGATGGTGAGAATGGTATCATGAATATTGACGTTATGTAAGTTCGTGAAATTTGGCGGCTGGAATTAATCTGAACAATTCCTCAGAGCACTTCCGTAGATTCGATAGAAAATGTAAAGGGATTCAACATCCCTGCGCAGCGCCAGTGAATCGAGCCAATTAGACAGACCTCGGTCGTCGACTATTCGAACCGCTCTGCGCTGGATGCGATCAAGTAGAAGAAGCTGGCATTGGGTTTCCCCAGCCCAGAGATGAGAACAGTATTCCATGTGAGGCTGAACTTGTGCTTTGTAAAGTTGCAAGCAATGTACCGACATGAAATACTGTCTCGCTCTGCTGAGCACGTCAAGCTTTTAAAAACCAATTTATCCTTCCCTTCAGAGTGACCACGAAACTGCATACTATTCGATAAGTTGGCGCCGAGGATTCCGATGCTAGCTGAGGCAGCAAGAAGAGTGCCTTGAAACTAAGGAGATACGACAGAGGGGTTCTTATTATCGGTAAACGCGCAAACTTGTGTCTTCTGAAGATTTTACTAGACTAGATTTAATCGCCACGAATCCTAAACTTTGTTCAGCAGACTCGACTTCAGATAGAAGTTTGTCCCGGTACTCGGCGACGTTTTCCCAAGAAATATTGGCACATATTACTAAGCCTTAAACTGCAGGAGTAACGTAAGAGAATCCATCACCCAATGTCACCTCTTGAAAGCTGTAAGAGGCGACTATGAGCATTGCTAGAGAGATTGTATGGATAGATGGGGGCATAACTATTTCTTTACACCAGTCGTGAAATACCCTGGACGATGTTAAGAAGCAGCATTAAAGGTTCGAGAGGTCTGGTATCTCCGTTTGCCAAGCATGACGATTAAAGCGAATCTTCACTATGATAGAAAAGGTCCAGATCCAACTGTGGACTCTTAGAGTCGATCGATTTTGACCAACACTACTTAGATAATCTTGCGCTTACAAATCTCACGTCGGTTCAGTTAGTTCAGCATAGTTCCTTTATATAAAATTAAAGTCATGTGTTCATTGTATGAATCAATTCATCATCCTTTACACCCCATCACAAATCCACTGATTAACATATACCTCCTCTTAGGAATGAAACAAATCTCGGTCATAAGCCACCCGCATCTGTCAAATTCCTGTATACTTTACCATGTCGTCACTCCATGGTCACCTACACTTCGCTTACTGGTACCAGGCTGTCATTCCATAACGTTTCTTTCCCATAGGTTGCTAATTCTTCGAGCTATATTGTCGGCCCATTCCTGTGGAGAGGGCTATTTTATATACGTGATATACTTAAAAATAAGCTAAAGTAACAATAAATTAATTAAGTATTTTTGTTTAATTACAAAATAATATATACTTAAAAAACAAAAATTGGCGCAAGTGATTTATTGTTCTTTTAACATTTTCCGCCTAACATTGTCCCTTAAGTGAAATTTATGTGCAAATATTTTGAAAGTCTATACATTAGTTAATGAATGCAGCTCTTGGCAATGTGTACGAAGCGTCTTTGAATCCCTATTCTGTTAGAAAAATTAAAGCGATAAATATGGAATGGAACGAAAATTGTGTGTATATAGGTTTTGTTATGCTGCTGGTTCTTTTTTCACTCCACTCTTATATTGTCATTTGAAAGAAAGAAAGAAAGAAAGAAAGAAAATAAACTTTATTGACACAGCAGTGCATGCACATATACAAATGGTTAACATTAAATTATATATTATACACTAATACTGTGCCAAAACAGGCTTCCGCTCAGCATTTGTCATGACATGCTCGCAAGGAGCATGTCAAGACGCTGGTCTTCCGCGGCCACCTATTGTTGGCATTGTACATCCTTTCGAGAATACACTAACTTAAAATGTAGTAATTATTATATGAATGTATTTATGTGACTTGGGTGTCTCTCGAAAGGGTGCACAATACGGGGACGCTTTAATGATTGTAATCATGGTTGTCAAAAAAAAAAACAATGTTAAAAACACAAAAGAGATAATAAAAGGTTAAAAATATTTATAATAGTGATCGATATTAAATGGAATTTTGAAATAAGCAAACAAATAAACAATCAACAACATTCCCTTAAATTACATTAAATTCTAGACTATTAAATAACAACTAAAACTAAATTAGTGGCCATTCCAACAAACATAATTTAAAATTAAAAATTTTGTACAGCCGACTTCAATATAAGTTATTTAAGAATAACTTAAAAACTATTGGTCTGACCTTGATCAAATTCATATGGGACCACACGAGAAGTACCAGCTTTCAAATAAAAAAAGAATCATCGAAATCGGTTCACCCAGAAAAAAAGTTCTGAGGTAACACACATAAAAAAAAAACGAAAAAAAAACATACAGTCGAATTGAGTACCGGCTCCTTTTTGGAAGTCGGCAGATAAAAAAGAAATTGTTCCAAGTCCCAACCGAACGAACGAATCCGAAAAAGAAAAGAAAAATAAAACAGTCCAAACAAATACCATGTACCATACATCGGGTATTATTTGCGATTGCTGGAATTATTTACGGTGGGACGGGCCCGCCAACGCCAGTGCGCGACGTGAGCACCCCATGGTAAGTATCAGCACCACCCGCCTTTTGCAGTGAGATAAGGTATTTTTTTACGTGAGTTTTAAACGTGTTTCTCACTTGTAGGACACGCAAAGGCGGAGGCAGGTCGTTCCAACACCGTGACGCAGCGAATCTGAAGGAGCCCCGAAACGCCATGGTGCGATGTTTTGGAGTGGCAAAAACGTGGGTACACTCCCTCCTGGGGTATCTGCTGTGATCACGGGCCCACTCCAGCTTTAGGAAGAGGTATTTCGGTTTTTTTGTAGTGATAACTCCGAACATCATAGTAGTCAAATGCAATCTTCTGCGTGCCTCCATCCTCAGCATGTTTGCGTCATTGAGATATGGCGTAACATGTGACCTAGGTGGAACTGTAAAGCAGAAACGAGCACATGCATTTTGCACTCTCTGAATAAGCCTGGACGTTGTTGTTAAGAGGCATGGACCATACACTGAGTGACAGTAATTAAACCTGCTGAGGACCAAGGACTCGCAGAGGGTGATTCTCAGTCTCTCACTCAGGTAGGGTCTCAACTTATAAAGGAGTTTTAGCCGGTAAAAACTATTTCTAACACATTCCGATACATATTTTTCGAATTTTAAGTTGCAATCCATGACAAGTCCTAGATTTCTGGCTGTGTCAACCCTTGTAATAGGTTCTCCATTTATATGAATATTTAAAGTTATATCTTTAAGTTTAGCAATATTCTTTGGCGAACCTATGATCATGAATTGCGACTTTTTGGGGTTAATTGACAAACAGTTTGAACTGCACCAGGCAGAGCTGCTGTCCAGGTCCTCGTTCACCCCCGCTACAGCACTGGTACAATCAGCCGGTGCAAAAGAGAGGTACACTTGCAGGTCATCAGCGTACAGATGATGCCGACAATTTGCAATGGTGTTAATAATATCGGCACTGTAAAGGATGTACAAGACTGGCCCTAATATTGACCCTTGAGGAACTCCGCGAGTAACGATTTGTGGTTGTGACCTCAGTGAAGTACCATCCATCTGCTTTAGCTCTACATATTGCAGTCGTCGTGTCAGATAGCTGTGGAACCATTTCACTGAATTACTGTCAAGGCCATAATATCTCAGTTTAGATAGCAGCAGGGATGAATTGATTGAGTCGAAGGCTCGAGAAAAATCCAGCAGTGTAAGAATCGTTAGCATCCCCCTATCCTGAGCAGCCAACAAATTGTCGACCACGTCTGCTAGAGCAGTTGCCGTACCATGCCATTTCCGGAAGCCAGACTGATATTGTGGGAGGATGTTCTGTGCTTCGAGATAGTCAGTAAGTTGGCTGCACACTATTCTTTCCAATATCTTAGACAGGCATGGCAGGATGCTTATAGGACGAAGTTCCTGAACTGTACCAGGCTGACTCGTCTTAGGTAACGGTCTCACAATTGCAACCTTCCAGTTCTCTGGAAATACACTGTCGAGTATTGACCGGTTAACTATCGCAGTAATGGCCCCCAGCGAGTAAGGCAATGTGAGCAAAAGCATGTCCAAAGACAGACCATCGTTCCCTTGTGCATTTGATCTCAGGTCCTTTATGGTCTTGAGGACTAAGTCTTCATTAACAGTGTGCAGTGAAAACGTAGCAGAGTTTTCATGCCTATGGTGCTCATAAAAAGTAAGTTGTGAGATTGTAACATTGTCCTCGCCTGGTACATTCAGGAACTGCGTGTTGATTAGATCTGGGTCATTGAGCGATGAAGGGAGGTCCGCAATGTTCTTCTTATTTGCCAGAATTGTACTTTTTAGGTTCTTCCACAGGGTTTTGGGGCTGTTCAAATTATTATTTATTTGTTTTGTAAACAAGAAGGTCTTCTCACGTTCAATTGCATTCAAGACAAGGCACTTCATAGTTTTATAACTGTTTCTGAGGACTGAGGTTTTCTGCTTTAGGTACTTTTTGTGGTAATTGTCTCGAATACGAATCATCTCCTTGATGGTATCAGTTATCCAAGGATGCGGGGGGTGCTTAAATTTACGTGTCCTTATTGGGGCATGTAAGTTCATAAGTCCCATGACGCATTGTGTGAAAGCTTCCACAAGCTCGTCAACGTTATCGAGACAGTTGAGATCAAGACCCCTCCAATTAATGGCGCTCAGATCTCGCTCAAGCTGCTCCAGGACGATATCTTTGTAAGGTCGGTATGTAACCCATCGAGGACTGATTTTCTCTGTTTTTATTCTGAATTCAGCCAGCAACATGGCGTGGCGGCTCAGGTCTGGGGAGTATTTCATTACTACCCGGAGTGCTGGCAAGTCTGTGCAAATCACATCAATCAGTGTTGCACTATGCTCAGTGTGATGTGTTGGTTCAGTCACTAATTGCTTGAGATTTTGACTGTGTATACACTGCATTAGCTCCCTACATCTACTACTGCCCTCATCAAGCAGGTTTATGTTGAAGTCTCCAGTCAAAATCAGTCCATCTGCCCAGGTGAAGGAGGCAATAGACTCAGTTATAGCGTCAAGGAACAGTTCTGGGTCTTGCCAGGGTGGTCTGTAAGCTGTGCCAATAACTATGACCTTATTGAGTAGGCGCGTGGAAACCCACATCTGTTCCACCGATGCCACATTGCTAGGGAGAGAACAAGGCCTCACATTCATACCTCTGCGTACGTAGAAGCCTACCCCACCCCCAAGCCCATTTTTGATATGGCTTGGCCTTGGAGTGTGCCTCAGCCGGTAATCGGCCAGTTTAGGAGCTCTGTCCCCCTCTCCAGCTCTCAACCATGTTTCATTTATAGCCATAATGTCCGGGGCCAAGTCATCCATTGCCATTATAAATTCCTCATGCTTAGTACAAAAAGATCCTGCATTGAAAAAACCAACCAAAAAATTCTTTAACCCTGGGCCCGTGATATATGTGTGTAATATAAACACCAATAGACTGTAATGTTAGTATTTTTTGTGTGACCATTTACTATAGAAGTTATAAATGATAAATTTGAAATAATATTTTTCAGCAATACTAACATGAAATTGTAAATATTTAGGATATAAATGTTAAGAATAGAATTGTATTTATTTTCCGTGAATATATGATATTGGAACAACTCGCAACAGCTTATAATAGTATTTTTTATTGAATTTCCTAATACTAGACTGACACAAAAAAGTAGCAATAAAAGAAAGAAAGCACCGAGATCATATTAGAGGTAAGCCAATGAATAATATAATATTTTTCAGTGAGACAACGTATGTGAAACTTATTGTTTTTTTTAAATAATTTATAATGGGCTGTCAGTCATTGCGACGGGCTGCCGAACAGCCTCACAACGTCGACCATCGAGCGCAACTGGAACACCTGCGCACCATCGCTCTTACGAGCGAAAATGCGACCCCTCTTGGTCCAGGCGTACTTCCATTGGAGTCGGCGGCACTCCTCCCGAACCTGACGAAAGAGTTGGCGGTTCGCGCGGGTCAGGAGCTCATTAACGAACACCCTCGCCCCACCCTCGCCGGTGAGGCCGCGGCGCACGCGCACGGCCTGCAGAAGCTCGTCACGCAGCTGGCGCCGCGCCAGGCGCACCACCACACGGCGCGCGCGCGCCTCGCCCGCCCCCGCCGGGGGCGTGCCCACGCGCTCCACGAACACCACGTCCCGCTCGTCCAGGGTCACCCCCAGGCGGCCAGCGAGCACGATGACGCTGTGCGTGACGTTTTCACCCTTCGACTCCGGAAGCTGACCTATTTCGAGGTCAGTGAGCAACGCATCCTGGTCCCGGTCGTTGAGCTCGAGCCTGAGCTCCGCGACGGTGCGCTCCAGGCCCGCGAACGCGCTCGAGCCAGCCTCGGAAACTACCATCATTATCTCCATCATACAGCCTAGCCTAGCCAGGTTAGCAACCGCAGTTTTTTTTTATTTTGGTTGTTATCGGGATGATGCTGCAACTCATATGCCTTTCATTTCCCTTTGTCGCCTCATTCATCAAATCCATATCAAACGTATTGACCGACCGACCTGTCATTCAAAATCGGTTACAGAGTCATGAGATTTGCTATCCTTTCTATCTTGTTTTTTGCCATAAATTGAATGGAATTTTCTCCTCCCTTGCACACTATGTTGGTACATATATTCTAAGCAAAGAGATTTAAATATATAGGTTACTAATTATATAGGTATACTATAGAGTGGATATTGGGAACATTTATATACAAAAACTTTGAGCTAGTGCCCGTGTAGCACCCTCTAGCTAAATATATCAAAACAAGGCTAACCATTTATTAAGACAACGTTTTAGCTATTCCCCTGTAGGTGACGCTAAAAAATATAACCTCGTTTTAGGAATGTTACCGTTTCGATATGAAAGTATCGATAATGTTGTTGAAGATTACTAAGTTTGAAATGTTTTTCCATATAATAATAGAGAATATACATGATTGTTTTATCGTATAAATCTATTTATCATGACTACCATCACACGAAAAAAATTATATTAACTTTTTACGCCTCTTTAGTGGCATGAAATAAAATATTTAATTTCCAATAACTAAGAATCAATTCAAACGGCAGTCACTTTGGTTGTCAACTTGGTGGCATGACGTCACTCGGTCCATTAGCTGCTATAATAATAGCATATGATTGATCGGTCGGTGTTAAAGACACATCGAGAAACGTCAAATCCAATAAGAGAGCGTCTCTATATTTTAAATTCATTTCTATTACAAAAATACACTTCAAATCTAAAATATTTTTGGAAAACACCGAACTTAAAAGCCGTTTCACGATTTTTCACGTTTCATCGGCTGCAGTACTTAAAGACACTACCCATGTCAATAAAAATTGTTATTTTAAGTTTTTACCTTATTTTCTAACTCAAGCTTAACCTACAACTTCTTGCATCTAATATTTTTAACAGTATAAATTGTTTTAATGTCAGAAATCTATTGCCTTCACCTATCATTGTAAGCGAGGATCTATAATGGCTTTGTGCTTGAAAACCACCAGACAACGAAGCCTGGTCTAAAACCACCAGACAATGAAGCCTGGTATGTAAAAGAGAAGACTTGCTGTATTGCTAAACATCAACACAGCAAGTATCCTCAGCCTGCTCATAAGCCACACAGAAAATCTCATTAGCATGCCTAAAAAAATTTCACACGCTTACTCCACATAAAGTAGGGTACTTAGCATAGTTAGTATATGCTACTCATTTTTGTTGGTATGGTTACAGTATCGTTGACTGTTTTACCTCCTTAAATATTGTAAAGGATTAAATCGGCATCCTGTATACTTTTTTATCGATAATCCCAATCAATAAACGTCGTCAATCACTAACTTTAAAATTGGTAACTAAACAGTGACGTTTACTGGACAACAGAGGGCGCTTATTACAATAAAAATAAATGTTCTAGAACAATCTACTAGAAATAATAAAATTTTATGATAATTCGGTAAATATAATATGTTATATTTACGATAAAAAACCGAAATCACGTTCATTTTTTGCTCCATATCGTGACTTACAATATCTTAATGCACAACCGGGCATATTTTCTTTAAAAATAATTTTTAAATATATGAAACGAATGCGTCTTGACTTTTTGACGATGTCACTAAGACTAAATGACAAAAATCGGAGATATATCCTATAGGACATAAGTTACAGATGACAATTTTGCTACTGATGTCCGGTCTATTCAGTTCAGAATTTACATTTAGACGTTTTGTCTTTTGACGCTAAATTTCTTTTGTTTTCACAGAATAAGGCCGTAGTTATAATGGATGGCAATGAGGCTGTCACTTGACGCACCCTTGCAATACCATTATAAAGCCTCCCGACTATCGCCCTCGTTGCCAAACGATAATTTTCCTGGTTTGTTCATGTATTTACAGGATATACTTTATCAGATAATTTTTGAGATGGCTGCATTCAATTACTTAATGCTAATAAACTTTCATTTGAATATAAAACAAAAACTCAAAAACAAAATTTATATCATTATTTATCAACACGATGTATGTACTATAAATTGCCTTAAAATAAATTAAATGTTATAAAATATAAGGATTTTATAAATTCTTATCTTTTAGTATCTATTTTTGTAGAAACGTGCCGAACTCGTCGCTACGCAACACGCCCCGCGAAATACTTTCCATTGACGCTTTTTTTTTCTACTCCTGCATTCGCTAAGAAGTGACAAGTGTCTGACGCCAAACGTACGTTCCATACGTAGGTCAAGTGCGTACACCAACGTAAAATCGTTGCATTGCATACGTTGCGTACATGGGACCAGTCTGTCCCTTCTCTAATCTCAAGTCTTCTGTGTATGAACGATAATGATTATAAAGACAACACATTGATTATAAGCTAAATATGCGCTATCATCTCGTGGCTTATAAGTGACTATACTCTAAGCTGTAAGCGTGACATGGATGATATTTTTCATACGGATCTTCCCTAAATATATAATACGGCTGTCTTATTAATTTTCAGTTCTTTCTTATAAAGAGTGTCCGTAAAGTAACGCCAAATTTAATATTCATGCACTACTTTTACTTAAAGCAAGAAAAGTCATCATCATCATCATTACAGCCCTTCACAAGTCCACTGCTGAACATAGGCCTCCCCCAAGGAATGCCAGAAAGCACGGTCCTGAGCCACCTGCATTCATCGACTTCCTGCGTATCTTACCAGGTCGTCACTCCATCTAGTGGGGGGTCGCCCTACACTTCGCCTACCGGTACGAGGCTGCCACTCGAGAACCTTTCATCCCAATCGGTTGTCGGTTCTTCGAGCTATATTGCCGGCCCACTGCCACTTCAGTTTACTAATCCGTTGGGCTATGTCGGTTACTCTGGTTCTACTGCGGATATCTTCATTTCTAAGTTTATCAGAGAAACCCCGAGTATAGCTCTCTCCATAGCTCGCTGAGCGACCTTGAGCTTCCTCATACCGCCAGCAGTGAAGGACCACGTCTCAGATCCGTAAGTCATCACTGGCAACACGCACTGGTTGTACAATTTCATTTTCAGGTTTTGAGGTATGTCTAACGAGAAGATGTGCCGTAATTTCCCGAACGCTGCTCAACCGAGTTGAATCCGTCGATTGACCTCTCGGTCGAAGTTGGACTTACCTAGTCGGACTATTTGTCCCAGGTAAACATGCTTGTCAACAACTTTGAGCTTAGTGCTCCCAACAACTACCGGCATAGGTGTGACATGCTCATTAAACATGATCTTTGTTTTGTCCATGTTCATC